CCCCCCCCCCCCACCCCCCTGTCTACACAGAAACAAAGAGGTAGGTAAGTGGAGTGTAGTAGAGCAAGTCGTACGTGTGGATTGATGGATTGATCGGTCGATCGGTCCATCGGTCGGTCTGGCTGGCTGGCTGTCCACTGAGTCTAAACTCCTCTCTCCCTCTCTCCCTCCCTCTCGCCACACGCACCGCGCCATTCTTGGTTGAACGAGGCGGGCCGTCGGTGTTGCTTTCTCCTTTCTCTCTCTCTGGCTGAGATACGGACGGACGTTTAGCTAATGAATGAGTCAGTCCCCCGGCCAGCCATGACACCATGACACCCAATCAATCACACTCATCCGTCCATCCGTCCACTCGTATATCCATGCAGCATACGTGTGGAAGCTAAGCTAAGCCATCCAGTAAGAGAGTCGACAGACAAGAGAGTCATGAGTAGGGAGTATGCAGTATGGACCCTCCCCCTCCCCTCCCCCCTCCCTGTCAGTCTGTCGGTCAGTCTGTCTGTCGATAGGTGAGAAGTCACTGGTGGGTGTTGCACGGGATGCTGGGCACATCTATTTGAGGAGTATCTTGGGCCTGCACAAAGGCAGACAGACAGACAGACAGGCATGCAGTCGCCTTCTTCAGCGGTGTGCATGTGTGCGTGTGTGGAGAGGAGCTGAATGACACTCACGTAGGATGTAGTATTCTGGTACGGTATGTGTGTCGTCATTCACCAGTCGGCCTCCTCCTCACCTGATCAACCACACACACACACACACACAGAGAGAGAGAGGAACAGCCACGCTCTCATGCCTGTCTGTCCGCCTGTCCATCTGTCTGTGAGCATGTGTGTGGTACCCCGGTTGGATGGTGTGTGTTGCACGCGGGGTGGCGGAGCACGGCTCGAAGCAGGGGCAGCACCGTAGCGGTCGTCGTAGCCTCCCTGCTCGCGGGGCGGGCGGCGATCCTCCTCAAACTCCTGACCGATTCATTGATGGGGGACACACACAGACATACACACGTTGATCCGGATCCACATGTTCACACCGTCCCCGGCCGCCCCATCGACTCACTAGGTTGTTGCGGTTCTGTCGGGGCGGTGCAGCGCCGCCGCGGCGCTCCTCACGGTCACGATAGTCCCGAGGGCGCATGACGTCTGGGGGGCACACACGAGACAGACGACACATACACATACAGCACACCCACACCGCCCATGTGTCTTATGCCTGTGTCTGTGTGTGCCATTGCTGACCCTGTCCAGCGCCCATGCCAGGAACCACAGCAGGGCCGTTGTCACGGAAGGCTCGCATGTTGCCGCCGCCGTAGCCCCCACCCCCGCCACCGCCACCACCCCCGCCACGCCCGCCACGGCCGCTGTCACGGTCATAGTCGTCCTCACGGCCACGACGCTCGTTGCCCCGCTCCACACCATCTAGGACAACACGGAACACTGAAAGTGGTGGCAATGTCGGCTCGCTGTCTGCCCTGCCTTTGTGTGTGTGGTGGTGGGGGTGCTTACGCCGTCCGCCGTATTGGTCGCGGTGGTCACGGTTGTAGTCACGGTTGTAGTCACGGTCACGGTCCTGACGCACACCGACACACACGCACAGACACGCACAGATAGTTCTGCATGTCGAGAGAGAGGCATCCTCCATCTGCCGCACGTCGTTGTATTGGTGGTAGTTGTTGCGCCCCCCTGTTCGCTCGACGTCCTCCTCGCGGGGCGCGTAGTAGTTGTTGTTGTTGCGCCCCCCACCGTCACGACGGCCGCCACCCCCACCGCCACCACCACCTCCACGACGGTCACGCGTGTCGTACTCATCCTCATACGCTGAGAGAGTTGATGAAGAAAGGAATGCCATCCACACGCAATCATCCGCCGCTCCATGTGTGTGAGAGGGCATCCATCTCTCTCTGTGTGTTCCATCCACTTACTGTCTCGGCCTCGATCGCGGTCGCGGTTGTCTCGCTGCTGTCGTCGGCTGTCTCGGGGCGCGCTGTCGAAGCCGGGGGGCGTGGCGGGTGGCGGGGCGGCTGAAGGTAGGGTCCGCTGCAAGAGCTGCTGCATCTGCTGGTGCATCTCGGCCTGCATCTGGGCCTGCTGCTGCTGCAACCGCTGCAGCTCCTCCTGGTGCTTGCGGTTGTTCTCGGCCAGCTCCTCGCGGTGCTTGGCGTCCTTGGCCTCGTTCTGCTGCTGTATGTACTCCATCATCGCTGACGTCAGACGATGGGTGAGAGGGGGAGGGGGGAGGGAGGGAGGGGCGCGCACACACACAGACACACAGACACACACACACATGGACAGATGGAGAGATGGCTGTGTTGCGGGGGAAGTGTGTGTGTGTGTGTGTGCGCGCACCCTTGAAGTCGGCAGCCTGTGGCTGGGGGCTGACGCCTGATGGAATGGAATGGAGCGATGGATGGATGGAGGGAGAGAGGGAGGAAGAGGCAACAAGACAACAGAAGATGGTACCCTGTCTCCCCTCTCTGTCGTGTGTGTGTTTGGTGGGGTGGGTCGTACCGTTGGTCGATGCAGACGCAGCAGCAGCAGCGCCACCGCCAGTGTTGGTGTTGCCGCCCCATCCTCCGCCCCCGCCAGACGCCTCGTTGCCCCAGCCGCCGCCAGACGGTGACGATGCCGCACCTGCGCCCCAGCCACCTCCACTAGTGTTGCCCCAACCACCGCCACCACCTCCTCCGCCACCGCCAATCGCTGCCTCCTCAGCTGAGGTGACAGAGGCAGTGTGTGTGTGAGGGGGGGTATGGTGGATGTGTGTATG